GGGGTGGGGGGGGCTGACCTTGCATGGGCCCCTATGTTATGCCATAATTTGTGTGTTAATTTTGCTTGGCTAGAAATGTCTCACAAAACTGTCATTTGGTTCCTCTTTCCAAGCCTTAATTTTGTATTCTAATACAAAGGATACTCCCAAAGCTGTATTCAAATACCCCTTGACCCAATGTATCACCATACCAAGTTTGGTTCAGATTGGTCCACAGAGTTGTTTACTTTTATAAGTATAAATAAATATACAATTACAAAATGAAAACATATCATCTTGTTTAAGTGGGCCAAAGTTGTTAATAATCTTAAAATGTAATCCAAGATTTTGCAAAGACAAAAAAAACAAAAACTTTTTTACAATATGCCTTGTTTTTGTTGATTACATTTTAAGATAATATCGACATGTGCCAAGGTTGTTGTATGAAAGTTATGTTCAGTAGGTCCAACAGCATTTTTTCGTCCAAACTACCACTGCCTGGACGTTTTACATCATTTTTCATATCCAGTAGAACCTACTCATGTGAATATGATTACAGTGGTTCTCTGTGTACACAGAAATACTTGTGGATCAGTCAGACAGGGGGGCCAATTACATGTGAATATGATTGCAGTGGTTCTCTGTGTACACAGAAATACTTGTGGATCAGTCAGACAGGGGGGGCCAATTATCACATATATACCACAGAGTCCTCGAGTGAAATGAAGGTGGTTATTTTCCCTCATACTATTAAAGTTTCGAGGTCATTCAACAGATGGTTATTTATCATAGCCACAGTTTAATGCAAGATGACAGGGTGTACCATAGTGGTTGAACCAGTATATACATATATATTTGAAGAAAGATTGTGTGACTGACACAAATATCTACAAATGCTTCTCAAGCATTTGTGATGTTACAATTTTAAAACAATTATAAAAAAAAAGGCTTTTGTTTTGGCATGAAATGTCTTTTCATTGGTTCCCAGTGTAATTTATAAAAATAATAAAATGAATATGTTATAGACTTTATGAAATTCATTGGGTGGGAGTAAATCAATCCACTAACTGCCTAATATTATATTTCCGCTAAAAAAAAAATCTGTATGGGGATAGCCCAGTAGTAGTGCACTGGCCTTGTTAGCAAGAGGTCCCAGATTCAAGTCTTGGTCTTTTTTTTTTTCCACACAATTTTCTAACAAAACTTATCAGGACTTCATTATTTTTTTTAAGTGAATGGAACAAGTATGCCTCTTGTTGCCTTAAAAGACGTTATCGATACGTGGCTAAAATTTTATAAAATATCAGAGGTAAAGTACTAAATTATTTATGAATATATTGATACATGCCTTAATACTTTTGTTTTCTTGTTTTTCTAGGTCGTATGTCCAAAGGAGTGTATGCAGTTTCAGTATCAGGTAAATTACCATCAGGAATAATAAGGGAACTTAAAAGTCAAGGTATTGCATACAAATCCAGAGATACCAGCACCAACTAGTTTATTTTTTAATTTGTAATCCAACTTTTGTCTTGTAATTATCCAAAATAGAGAAATAAACGTGATTGAACAAGAGCAGTTCCCGATTTGAGTAATATTACACCAACCATATGTAATGTATTTCCAATAGATACTCGCCTCCTGACACAGAATAACTTGATCCCTTGCACATCTGCCTACAATAATTGCATGATACTAGTCTTGAGCATAAAAATCATGTGTTTTAATGTAAAATGTGCTGATGGCCCTCCACCAATAAGGGGTGTGACAAAACCTCTTTGTACAGTAACTCCCCTTAAGTATTTGCACTTCAGATATTTCATTCTTAGTTGAGGTAAAAGGAAAAAGTGGGGATGTGAGAGGTATCTATCATAAATACATTTTCAGGTAAAGAAAATGTTAACTTTTGAGATGATACTACCTGAAGGGAAGCCCGTAGAATGTGCCACTCGATGGCAGGGACTCCATATGGGCACATCTATAGGAGACTGCATCTTGGCTCGACCAGGGTAAACTCTCTGCCTGAAAGAAAAAAGAGCTGCAAGTAGCACAGGGATAAGCAGGAATTAATCATGACCAACCAAGCATCTGCATACAAGTTGTCGGTGAGCCAAAAAGTGTGTTGTGGTTAGGACACATCGAAGACCTACCAGAAAGGTCTTTTACGGGAGATAGTGCAGTCGGTGACTGCAAAACCCAATTTTTAAAAGCTGGCAAGTGTAAGCCAAAGAAGTGGATAGACATGGTTCTGGCTTTTTTCATGATATTCCATGGAGCCTGTATTTGGTAACTGAGTAAATTTTAGTGCCATGAGAATACATCTAGTGGTTCTGCAGAACATCATCTCAACACTTTCAGTTACCACTGGCCTGATGTAGATGTCAGGAAATTATCATTCCATGGGAGGCAACACCAGTGACCTGGCATAATCCAATAAAATGGAAAGGGGTACTGAAAACGAAGACATACCCTTCTCAAAGACAGTGCATATATGGAAGAATAGCAACCAGAGAGTTTAAATCCCCCAGATGATCCAAATAATGTGAGACAAACTTGGGAGTTGTCCACATGCCAACCTTAAGGGGCTTGTTCAAAGATTGGCAAAAATGTGATGCAAGAAAGTGAAACAGGTCATGAATTTGACGTGATAATATGTGAAATTCCCTGAGCATCAACGTCAAGGGAAAATACACCAACCAGATGAGTTGATACACCCATAAGTAATGGTAGTAGACAAGAGGTTCTTCAATGAAGAAGGGCCCCAAGAGAGAAACAGACTATGGCAGAAACCATGAAAGTAACACAGAAGATGATCCAGTCAAAACAAGCACAAAGATGAGAAATAGAAGAAAAGGATCAATTACTTTCCTGAGCAGTTGAAGTCTTAAGAAGAAAAGCCTGGTCCAGTAAGAGGAGTAAATAATTATGGTGAAAGAGAGTGCATGGCATATAAAACTAAAGGATGGTGACCACAGGCAAGAAAGAGACTAATACATCTTAAGCCAACAGCTTGAACAGGGCACGTGTGAGTGTGTGTACAACCTCATTAAATTCCCAGTTAGGCATGGTAGTTGGATGAGAGAGTCAGTGAAGAGGAAAGGGGAAGAACACACTTGGCAGTATCAAAAAAGGTTAAGCATAGTTGACAAAGCCAGCTGATAACTAGATATAGTGGAGACTTATAATCAATGGTTGAACAACCAAGTGAAAAAAGCTGAAAGGTGGGCCACAAAAGTAAAGCCTGGAGGAAGGGAGTGGTGGATAAACCAACATTGAAAAATGCCACTTTCATTGATAGATGGATAAAGTTGAAAGATGACAGGAATGGGCTAAGAAGAGTCCTGCTGTGAGGGTGGTGGACCGGACAAATCCCACACACGAAAATAAAGGGACAACACCTTCTTTGGCTTTTCCCTTTAGCAGAGGTGGCCGTCCTTTACATCTTTATTCATTGCCAGGTCTTCTGTAATTCCTTTCTTGTTCATGACTTTTTTAATCCCATCTTTCTAATGCTTTGCTGGCCATCTCTTCTCTTGCCAGCTACTGGTAGCTCTAATGCTTTCCTTATTGCTTGTTCCTCTCTTCACATAACCAAATCATTTTTCTTGCCATTTCTTTATTTATTCTTTTCTCTTTCAGCAACATTCCCAACAGCTGTCTCACCATTCTCATTTGTTTTCTTATCAACTAGCCTTCTTTCTTCTTCAGGGTCCAAGTCTAGGCTCTGTAGAAGAGCCCTGGTCTAAGCATAGTCTTGTCCACTTTTGTTACAGATTACTTTAGCTACTTCTATTTCCTCCAACCTGCCAGGATTTCTCTCTCACAGCTTTCCCGCTTCCTCCTTGACTTTGGATTGTACTATCCAAGTATTTGTCTTCTACCTCTTCCAGTGACTTTCTGCTTACATCTGTCTTCTTCTCCTTATCTGTTCACTCGCCATGACTTCCATTTTTTTGGCATTCACCTTCAAGCCATCGCCTTTTCAATCTCTTCTGCCACACTTGCATTTGTAATTCCTGCTCACTTTCAGCTGTTACGACAAGATCACTAGCAAATAATAGTTTCCACGTGGGTCCCTAACTCATGATGTCCATGACAATGATGAACACCAGGGGCTAATGACTGACCCATGGTGCAGTGGCTCTCACTAGTCTGATAAGTTTTTTGGGTACTCCATTCTTTTGGTGGCAACAGTATACTAATTCTTGTGCTACTCTATAATATGCTTCCTCCAAATCTACAAATGGACGATATTACTTATAAAATGAAGGTATGACACCTGTGGGTGAAAAAGATGTGGGAGGTTGGAGTAAGAGAGAAGGGGATGTCAATTGATGAAGAAGAAGCTAGAGTTGTGCAGGCCAAAGAAGGGCCACTAACAGGAGGACCCGACAAGGATATGAAAAAGGAGATAAAGAGGAGGCTAGGCATATAGAAAAAGGTGTGACCAGTCCTGGCTGATAGCAGTGACTGCCAGGGCCAAAGGATGAGGAACTGTGGACAAGAAGAGTGGAAGCTTGACAGTGACAAAGGCATAGATAAAGGACATGCCCAACTGAGAACAAACCCAACAAAAAAAAATCTGAGGGTAGAGAAACCATTATATGGGAACAAATCAGTACAGCCAAGAGAGACAATCCACCATCAGGTTCAGAGCTCCCTGCACATGACAGGCTATGGGAAGTACTTGATGGGAATAAGCCTAAAACAACAGGTTCAGTGTACAGAAGCAAAGAGTCCTGGGAGGGTTACCCTCCCTAATGGTTGATGTAAGAAATGACCAAGGAATTGTCAGAGTAGATCATGACCAACCAAGTTTGACGATGCTCCTCTGAAGTCATATCAGAGGTTAGAGATGCACCTTGGCCTGAGTAAGAAGCATCAGTGAAAAAGATGGAAATTCAGTTGTGAAGACAGCAAAGGGACACTCACCATGGTATTGGCACAGTTGAGCCACCAGGCCAACCCCTTGAAAAGAGGTTTGCAATTAAGGACAATGGATCCCAAGAAAGGTTACATTGGTCCTGCAATGTTCATTGGAAGAAATACAGAGCCCAAAAGAATAAGTAAGTCGAGGGAAGCTAGATTACCCCCAAAGCAAAAGAACCTTGCATGTAGAATGTAAACAAGTGTAAATCTTGTTGACTAGACCTTCCATCACTCCCAGGTGAAGCATTTAAGGATGATCGCGACTGAGATGAGAGTTAAAAAAACATGTACCAAATATTGAGTAGGCATGAGAGAAAGACTTGGAAAGCTTTACCATCCAGGCAAACCAAGCAGCCTCCTGTAAAAGAATGGAGGTTTGGGTGAAGGAGTGAGGAAAAGCCAATCATCCACGTAATAATGGAACCCCGCCCCCAGCCGGTGAATGTGGAAGACGAACGCTCCCATGACTCAATTGAACTTGCAAGGAGAAGATGCAATGCCAAAAGGAAGAGCATGGAACTCGAAGACTCGATTCTGATGGACAAAATGAAGAAAATGTCTGGAGGATGGGGAAATTGTCATATGTGAAAATGATCCCAAGAGGAAAAAAGAAACTCGATCAGGAACCATGGAACAATTAGAAATTGGTTGAGAGACAATAATCGATAACTGGATGCCAGTCCCCAGTCTTGTGAACCACAGAAAGACAAGAGTAATATTGTTGAGGAAGAGTAAATACCGTCTTGATGGCATTCTTGGGACAATTGAGATAAACGGGGGTCTGAGAAAGGTCATTGGTGAGGACCTGAAAAATCCATCTGTCAGCCAAAAAAAAAAAAAAAGAGACCAATGGCTGGCCAAGTGAGACAGACAGGCACCAACTGAGCCAGAGAGAAATGAGTGCTAACTCTGATATTTCGAGGTGGTAGGGAGGGAAGAAGATTGGGAAACTGGAAATGATAGGGGAGAGGAAGACTGAGTAGACCTAGGGACTGGAACAGAATAGTGAGGTTTAGATGAATGAGAAATCAAGGGAGACTATGAGGAATAATGCTGGGCTGCCTTGGCCTCCAGGAAAAGAAAAGGAGCTGAAGAGCAGGGAGATAAGAGTGAGGCAGATGAACTTTAGTTAAAACAGCATCCCAACCCAATAATTCCCAACAGCAGAGTAACCAAACAAGGAAGGATAGAGTAGTAGTAGAAACCAGAGTGGTAAACAAGAGAGAAGAAATCTCTCCAGAAAAACTATTTGAAGCATGATGAATAAAGTGAAGGAACAAGAGGCAATGTAGGAGAGTAGTAAAAAAGATGCAAAGGTAAGAACAGAAAGTGAAACAGAAGTTAAGATAAAAGAGACTCTTAAGATTGGGAATCAAGAAAAGGAAAAGAAGAATGACTAAGCCAGGACAAAAGAATCGAGCAGGATGAAGCAGCTGTCCGAGGTGAAGGAAGTAAGACAGAGTAATCATGAGAATGGATTTTGTGTAGTAAGGAATTGAAAGACATGGGAGAAAGGGAAGTAAAGAACATATCTGTGAAATCATAGCAAGAAAGAAGTTAGAAGGTTGAGGATTTTCTTCCACAGATAAAGCAGTAACAAGAGGAAACCCTAGTGGGAGAAACAGTCAAAATCGTCTTCCTAGTCATGTTCAAACTGAGGAGATGGAACGTCAGGCAATTGGATGGGAGGATAGGTCCAGTGTACATGAGGGAACCCACCACCCCTTTAAACAATGGCTGTCACATCCTCCAATCACAATGAGCATCCAGAAACTACTGTAGACACAGGTCATCATTATCACAGAATGAAGAAATTATTATTAGTTAAGAATTCATAATGGGTAAGCAGAAAAAAAATTCTCTTCTACTTTAGAAATGAGAAAAATAAAGGGTTTGTTTTGAATTTTACACAAAGCCAAACATTCTGCATTAGCCGTCCCTAATTTAACAGTGAAAGACTAGAGGGAAGGTAGCTAGTCATCACCACCCATCGCTAACTCTTGGTCTACCAAAAAATAGTGGGGCTGACTGTCACATTATAATGCCTCCACAGCTGAAAGGGTGGGATGGAGATGCAAACCCTCAACCCTCAGATTGCGAGTCAAGCACCCTAACCACCTGGCTATGCCGGGCCAAAAAAAAGTCAGCGAATCTGAATGAAAATAAGAGTCAAATATCATGTAACCGGACAAAAAAACACCAACAACATTTGTTCAAGGCAATGCCTAAGAAAATAATAAAGTTATTTAGAGTGCAAGTGCTTAAGGGACGTAAACTGCAAAAGAAGGTTGTGTCACCCCTCCTACTGGTTGCTATTGTCACTATAAGATGTCATGATGCATTAGCACAGTTCACATTACATATGTGATTTTTATGTGGGAGTTAGGTCAAAGCTAGTTGCGTGTAAGTCTCTTTAAAAGACGCACGAGGGATCAAGCCATTCCGTATGCGGAGAAAAGGTATCTCGGAATTCAACACGTATGCTGATTGACAAACGTAGCCACACGTCTTTACTTCATGTTTGGAAAAAGTATAAAACTGATGTCTATAAGTATCTCTTTACATCATCACGGTCCCTTCTGAAGTAGCAGACCACGAACTTTGGAAGTTTTAAGTGTAATACTGAAAATGTTAATTTTATCAAGCTATTTTAATGCTAGACTTCAGAATCACCGAAGCCTAATACGTTACAAAAAGAAGTTCTCAATTTTTGGACAGTTTTAAAAAGAGCCATAGTTTAAATAACCCGTAAAATTTCTCCTTTTACGTGTATGCAAACTTTGACGAACAAAATCCCTTAGAAAAGTGTCATTATTATTGTAATTTGAGGAAGCAATGATATATCACGACAATTAGAAATGTAATTTGATATGCTCACCTGTGAATGAAAAAAATTTGAACATTGTTAAATGTTTTTAACAGGGTCTGGTAATGGTTCGAATTTGCAAGAATTTTAACCAAGAAAATACCCAATCAAATTAGATTAAATGAATCACTGTGAAGGATTTATTAAAACCAAGAGCTATGAATTTGTACTGTACAAGACAGATGCATGTAAAATAATCTTAGTGGAACCAGCTAGACTTTTTTTTTTAGTCTGGTTATGAAGAAAGTTAAATTATGATCAAATACAACAAACATACAAAATAGGCAAAAAACCTTAAGAGCCCAAACATAATATTAAATATGCAATACATTTTTCTAATGATTACAAATAAGACTAAATGTACTCCATTCACACAACACTAAAATTAAATTGTATTATAGCGAACTCAAATTTGCTGATTTTGTCAAATGAAAATGTACAAAATACTTGTTTAAAACATCAACTTGAAAAAAACCTAAAACTTGAATTTTTTTTTTTTTATGTGATTTTTGTTTTTCGATAATTTCAAAAAATGTGAACATTCCACTTTAATGCTACATTTATAGAAAAGTCTGCAATAATTAGTGCAAATTTCCAGTGACTTTTTAACTGGCATTTTTGTACAAAAAATTGTTACAACTGTAATGATCTATTTTAAATATATTCGAATGCAAGTTTTTACATGACTTATGCAAGATTTCGGGCATTACAGAAAGTGCTTTATTTTTTATACTGCATTTTTTTCAATAAAAAAAAAAAGGACTTAATCAGGCTAGAATCAGTACTAAAGTTTTAAAAAAACTACTAATTAGGATGTTATTGAAAGAAAGAAAATGAAAACACAAACAAGGTAAAGATATCGCCTTTGGTTGGCAAAAAAACAACGTAAGGGTATGGAAGCTCAGGCTAGTTTTAATGATCTCGCAGCTCGTAAGTTAGAATTTGAAGTATGTAATTTAATAGCCCATATTCATGTCACTGAGCAAACAGTGGATGAAATAAAATGTTTTAACATTACCACAAAACAGTACCATGAAGTTAAAAAAAAACAAATGGGATCACCACTGCTTTTCTATTAATTTTTCTCCTCTTGTCATCAGCTTCTGCTGGCTTTGGGCAACAAACTTCTGACATGCTGCCACTGTAACTTGAGGACATTCTTTCATGTTTAGGTATGAAAGTTTTGTACATTGTTTAAGAGCTTCCAAACTTGTATTAGTTATATTTGCACATGAGGAAACATTGAGAGCCATTAGCTGGTTATGTTTGGTAGAACCCAGGATGGCTATCCCCATGTCTGTAACCTTGTGGCAGTGGCTTAGGTCTAGGTGTGACAACTGGGAAAGGTGATGCACCAAGAGCCTTATTGAAATATCAGATACATCTGTTCCAGCTACTCGTATTTCCCGAAGCTGACAAAGACGAGTTTTTGAATCACCAAATCCTGGTCTAGAGTCTGGAGGGCTAGCTAGCAACTTCCGAATGAAAGAATCAGTGAGTCCTTCCACCCAACTGATGTCCAAAGATGACAACAAAGGGCAATAACAAGTACACAAAGATGACACAATAGCTGTTGAACAGCCTTTAAGAACTAGAGCTGTCAGCTGGAGTAGGCGAGCAATTAGCCAGGAAAGTTGGTGTTTAGAAATATTGGTCCAGCTCAGGTTTAAAGAAACAGGCTGTCTCTGCACCGTCGCCATCAGAATATTGGCAGTTATCTTCCTGTGGCTAAAATTTATATATGTCCACAAGGCAGGATCATTAGTCCAATGATTCCAAGTTTTACACACCAGTTGACAATTAACTAAATCTGCTGTAGACAAATAATGAAACACTGGTAACATTACATCTTTTATCAATGCCAGGTTGTTGGATCCATTCTTTGATGCTTGTCTGTCTTCAATCGAGCTCTGCATAATAGGTGCTTGTTTCACAATGCGTTTAGGTTTTTGACGATTTGGATTATTTCTCAAAGTCATGGTTATCCTTGGAGCATGAGGTGTTACGCTTCTTTCATCCCTAGCCTGTTTACTTGTAGGTGTATCACTACTGCTTTCATCTACCTGACCTTCATCTTGAAGGCTGGTCACAGTTTTATCTCTCCTTGGAGCAGACTCTGCATCTATTTTTTCAACTTTAACCTCACACTTTTTGAACCCCTCAAGAAGGGTGGTGTATTGTTTGTTCTCCAAGTTTTTTTCTAGTCCTTTTAATCTCCTAACAAGTTGTTCCCTTGCAGTTTCTCCGTGTTCCTTATTTGTTACTCCTGATATTGAGCAGAGATGGTGCTGTACGTTATGATTATCATCAGAAAGCTTTTGTTCATTATTTTTCATGTTTAAAGGATATTTTGCACATGATCTGACATGGGTCTGGTTAGATTGATCCTTTAGTTGTGTACATTCACATTTGTACTGCTCCGAAAACCTGAACTTTTGCTTTGGAGGTGAAGAATCAGAATCTTCTTCCTGAAAGTTAAAAAACTAGAAATGATCCTTTTCTTACTTTGTCAAATCTTATGTATTCAACTAAAAGAAAACATTTTTTAAAATTTCCAAATCTGTTAACGAAGTTATTTCTGAATAAAACCAGAACTTGTATAATTATACAGTAAATAACAAATATTCATTATTTAAGAAAAAAATACCAGACGTTACAACAATAGAACTGACACAAGGATCCGAGATAACAACAAGGGCCTAATGTTTCACTTTCTAACATATATATATATATATGATTGGCCGTACACTTGGATGAAATAAAGGAATTAAGATATAAAAATATTACAAATTCAAACACACACACACCTAAAAACTTGTTTTAAAACAGGTAAACCTTTAATACTTGTGATAAATATTATACAGAGAATACTAAAGATAAAAAATTAATTACAGTTACTATGAAAATGTGAATTCATCAAGTATGGAAAATAATATTAATATTTCTTTAACTTTTTAAAAATAGATACCTGGCCCAGGAGATCAGCAGTTAGCTTGAAGACTTATAACAATAAAAATCAGGGTTAGATACACTTGGTGGGTACATTGCATATAGCCCATTGTGCAGCTTTGCACTTAAATAAACTTGAAGTAAATGAACAAAAACGAAGTTTTCATAATACATTTAAAGTATCTGTGTTCATATGCTGGGTTAGGTTATATAAATTAAGATTTTTTTTTTTTTAAAGTCCTACTTTAAGAATATGAAAACACGTATCTTTTGTGTTTCATATCACAATGTTTAAGGCATCTCACCTCATCTTTATTTTCTGATGCTAAAGATGATTCTTCTTCCATCTCCTCCATTTCTGGTTCAGAAGTTGAGGTGTCACTTTCCTCTCTGACAGTAATCTCAAGTTTTGCCTTGAATAGAAATTTTAATAGTTCTAACAATCGACATTGAACTTTGATTGTTATTCATGTTTGATAATTAGGTAGTATAATAAAAAAAAAAACTATATTATGGTTATAAAATTTCCTGTAATCGTCATAATATTTATTTTTTCCGGGATCATATTTCTATGTTGTAGATTCCAAATTTTCAAGATTTCTTCACCTGTTTGTTTGCTTTGAAATTTCGAAGAAAACAAATCAAGGGCTATCTGTGCTAGCCATCCCTAATTTGAAGTGATATACTAGAGGGAAGGCAGCTAGTTGACAAACTCTTGGGCTACTTTGTTACCAATGGATAGTGGGATTGACCATTACATTATAATGGCTAGCCATCCCTAATTTGAAGTGATATACTAGAAGGAAGGCAGCTAGTTGACAAACTACTTTGCTTTAATAACTGCAAACAGTCTTTCAGGCATTATTGCAACATATTTAATCAAAATGTCTCTAATAAAAAAACTTGACAAATCAAAAGTTACGTCTAAAGAAACTGTATGGGAGTGATCTATCAATTACCCAGATCTGATATATTGGGTTGAGATCGGGCTCTGTGGCTTAGCTAAGAAAGAAGCTGCTGGAGTCATTCAAATGATGCAATGGTCTAATATTTTTCTGCTGAGGCAACATGAGATATTTGCAAAACAGATGGAATAATGGACCAGTGCAAGTACCATCAGATACTGATCCATCGTGATATACCTACTGGTTAGCGTATTATTGGTAAAGGATTCTACTACCAAGAAGATAATGACCCCAAACATTCATCCAACCTAAGCAGTGATTCCAAACCATCACATTGCCTCACCCATGCTTCATGGTAAGT